AAGTAGTGTTGAAATTGAGGGTCAAAATGCCATGGCATGGAGGTATTGACTTGACATGAATCCCGTTCTGCCAACGGCAAGCTTTTAAATAAATAAATATTTTCCTTTTTTTTTTCTTGTGACAAGTGTGTTTGTGTGTGTACATTTTAGTTGGGACTCAAAACAAATGCGGCCGCAACTGAGATAACATTGATAATCCACTGAAGGCTAGATGAGAAAGTTACAATGTAGATATAAACAAAACAGCCAGATAAGGAATTTGGTAAAAAAAATAGTTTAACCCATTCGCCCCTGGAGATTTTGCCGAAAAACACATTTTCAAGCTAGTCGAGTGGTTTTCTGGTCGCCGTCCTGCAAAGAAGAAGAAGCAAAAACTTACCACCAAGCCGTTTACAGGTCGTGCACTTCGCGTCCTTCTTATCCAGATGCAAAATATCAGCGTGCAAAGTTCCGGCATGTGCAGAAGGCAAAATTTGGGTTTAAAAGTGACACAGCAGTCTTGAGTTTTACTTTTTCCTTTCTCTCCTCATTTTTTTCTTTTGCTGGGCATCTAGTAGGCTTCATTTTGGTGGGAAACATTTTTAGGAAAGCTTTTAGGATCTTAGGAGCAAGTGAGTTGTGGAACAAGATTTTCTTGGCAATTTTCTGATCAATTTTACATGGTTTTTTGCCTTTTTCTCCGGTGTCCTTGACTGAATTGTGATCATTCTGGTATGGTTGAAAGGCATCTTCACACACACGTTAGTGGGCAAAGTTGTCTTTGACCATTAAAACTGGTAATGTCACAAGCGGTAGAAGGGACGTGGATCCGCAGGGGCTGTTACAGGCAGCTCAGGGGCGAATGGGTTAAGAGGCATGGAAAAACTTCATAGTTCACCAAACTTAAGAGCGGCCGTCTGTAAATATCGAGAATTCGCCGTCAAAACCGAAATTTCGAAATTCTTCATACTTGGTCAGAAAAAACCCTTTGGTAAAACATTTTCGAAAACTACAATCAAAGTTTCCAAAAAAA